GCTAAATCCAAAAATGCAAGGGAATTCCTGGAAGCTTGGTATTCAGACAAGGCAGCCATCAGCAGGCACACAGAGATAAACAACATCTACGCACTATTCAAAAGAGACGATAGAAAGGAAAACAAAAGACCAGAACATCTCACCAGCAATCATCACCCAGAAAAGCAGAGATTAATACCAAGATTACCACCAGACATACAATCAAGCAGTTAACAATACCCTAATCAAGGAACTACCAGAGGGAAAAAAATAAAACAAAACAAAACCCACACCTCCAGCAACACTGGCAGGGCATGCCACTGTATATAAACAGAGAGCAAACCCCACTCCACTCTAGCACTGAAGATGTTACTTAGCCAGGTAATGAAACGTTTGCAAGAAAACAGCTAAACTCAGAGAACTCCAGGGACTCCACAGTTCTTGCTTCTTTGATCTCACTCATCTGTGTGGGGCTTCACAGATATGTTCTTTACCTTTTTACCTCTTAAAACAATATGAGGACAATAGTCAGATTTGCTTGGAGAGGAAAGGGGGATGCTTGAAAAAAGTAAAAACCAAAATAAAATCTCTTTCAAGTCAAGCTCAAATCCTTGTGACTTTATGGATATGACTGTTGTTTTCTGGGCAGCAATACAGATATGCTTGAATTGAATATGCATACTTGGGAGGGTTAGAACAACTGTTTCTAACAACCGAATCCTATCTGTGACCATTATCTTGAATCTTTGGATAAGAATAGGATACCAGCCCAGCTGTAGTTATCTTCCCTATCACTGGCCTCCTCATTCCATTGTTCTTATTCCATCTCTCTTATACCTCCACTCTGACCATTTGTAGACAGGATCCTTGGTTGTGGCCTAATGTCTGTCTCTTCCCTTTCCATGTGAAGGGTGACATCAAAACCTCATGAGTCCATAACCCTCTACAGTTTAAAAAAAAAACCCACCAAGGTCTTAAGATGCAGCTCTGTTTGTTGCTCTTATTCCAATGTGGAGGCTCAAAGCTTGCTTTCTCGATGAATATTACCGAGTTTCTCTTCAGCCACCTGGTAGCAATTCTTAGCTGATGTAGCACAATCTCCGAATGTTTATGGCATTCAGACATTGGCTGAATGTGTAAGGCACTGGTTGCCTTGGGAAAGACAGACTGTTTTATGCAGCCCACAACTCTTTGCTTGCATGAGCCTTAGTCAGGAGGGCCTTTGGCCAGACTTATCTGGGGCACCAATAACACCCTTTTCTGGATTAGAGACCATTCCCACAGTTGTTGTTGCCTTAGTCTCCCATTTGAACTACTGCAATGTGGTCCACATGGGCCTGTCCCTGAAGACCACTTGTAAGCTACAGCATGCAACTGCTTAATTAACTAAAGGCATTCCTAATTTTGCCCATGTAACATTTCTATTTGGCAAGCTGTCCTGGTTACCAGCTGGTTTCCAGGTGCAATTCAAGGTGGGAGTTGTTACCTATAAATTCCTTCATGGCTTAGGACTTGGAAAGCTATGGCACTGCCTTTCTCTGCTTGTTTCTCCCTGCCCAATAAGATCTGCCAGGGTCACAGTGCTCCAGGTCCATCAATGAAGGATTGCCATCTTGTGGGTCCTCAAATCTTTTTCTGTGTCTGATTTTCCAATCTGCTTTTTCACCCAGTTGAAAAAAATGTGGTTTGTAGATTTTATCAACTTCTCCCTCTCTTTTCTTTTCTACCAAATCAGTAACCCTAACCCTAGCCCTTTATAAACTGGAAAAAAAAACCCATCATTTCTTGTATTCATGGCACAAACCAGAGTTTACACCCTGGTTGTATACTTATCACATCCATTTTGTTTCTGGTGTTTAACTGCTTTGCCTTGAAAGCAATTAAATCTTGTCTGTCCATCCCATTGTTGCCAAAATCATTCCTCTATTTCATTGTCCTGTTCATGTGATAATACTTCTATTGGCTTCTCATCTACTCCTACATACGAGACCTTCCTTCAGGGTTGGATACTGTTGAGGTAGAAAGTTAGATTTGAGACTCTATAAATTATCTCAGAGTTCAAGTCCAACTCCCTTTCTCAATTGCACTTATTTATTAAATAAATGAATTACTGCATCAGAGGGAAGGAGAGTTGCAGTCGGGGCTTCCACCAAACATCATTAGCTGATACTATGACAGCTACAGATAAAAGGAAGTCCAAGTCTAAGAAGTTGATGCCAGAAAGGGTTTTTCCACTAAGCCTTATCATAAAGTAGTCACTGACTGCATATTTGTACAAGGTTGATATAATAATGATACTGTGTAATTAACCAATTAACCTAAGGTGGAAACATGTAAATGGGGACTGTGAAAGGAGAAGAGGGGAAAAACAACTAAACAAACATAATGACAGTACCACAATTTAGAATAACTTTGACATGGAATGATCTCTAACCCTCAGTATGGAAGCTTGGCACCATATGCATGATCAGTTCCCATACATATATTGTCCCATGCCATGGTTAGCTGTCGTTTCATATAGTCAAGGATAATGAAAAGACCATATTTTTTCCAGCCATCCCTGGCTGATCTTGAAGAAGGTCAACAGGGTGGGACCTGGTTATAATTCAGATGGGAATCCCAAGGTTATCAGTTAGACTGAGAAAGTTGGGAAAACAGCAGAGAAGAAAAAAATGTCAAACCACTTCTGCATTATTGCTGAAAGAGTTCATGGTTCTATTCCATGAATTCACCAGGAGTCAAACTTGACCTGAAGGAGACTTTGAAATCCTGAGGAGATGGAGTGAATTATGTAAGAGATAATTTTCTTAATTATACTTCCCTCCATGCTCACCAAGATAACCTGAACAGGTCCACCTGAATAGCTGTGAGTATAACTCATGGTTCCCTTCTCTATAGCTGTCCCAGATCTTTGCAATGCTCAGTTTATATATGTACTTATTAAAATGATTGTTATTCTGTCTTTTGCAGATAATACTCAATCCATACAATCAATATAAGCAACTAAATAAAAATACAATAAATATTATTTAAAAACAAAGAGCTTTCTAGGGCCCTTCCCATAGGGCAGATGATACCAATGGCCTGGGCTGATGGGAGCAGATGAAAGCTAACCTTTTCTAAAGGCCTTAAGATAGGCTTTAAGTGGGTGGTAATTTCATATCTTTTTAATTGCCTCAGTTTTGATTTAATTATATTTGACTCATAAAAGATTGAGAGCCATCTTGGTGTAGTGGTTAAGACAAAAAAACTACAGGGACTTGTGCAGGCAGTTGCCAGGAATCAAGATTGACTCGAAAGCACACTCACCTAAAAGGTTTAGTTTTTACTGTTTCATCTTTATATCGTGAATCAAGTACTCAGCCATCTACAAGGACAGATAGATCACAGACCATTAAAACCTGAGGCTTAGGAAATCTTATGGTGGCTCTGCCGATGTTATGCTTTAGTCATGGCAGGGAATGCAGTAGTATTTTGGACGCACATCCAAAGTGGCTATTTAACAAGGTTGGGAAGCAGTTTGGATTTGTAAGGAAAAAGGTGGTTCGGGCCCTGCAATTGCACCAACGCAGCATCTGTCTGCAGCTCCTTAAACCAAATGCGTCTTTTTCTGGGGTCAATCAAGAGTCACGTGATTCCAAGAAACAACACAATCTTTAGTTGCAGACAGGGACTTCATGAGCATCCCCTGCATGCTCTGAAGCATCTTTCTGCCTATAAAATATATATTATACATTATATATAATATATATTATACATTATATATAAAAATGTATGGGCTTCAT